GGGCAGTCATGCAGGATCACTCTCAAATGAACAAAACAAAGCAGATTCTACAATTGCCCAGAACACTAACCACAGAGGCAACACATTACACACTGCTTGCACTACAGCCCATTTGGAATGGTCAAGTTTAGACCCTAAGACACAGGGAGAAGTTATCTGACACTTTCAAAGCTCTCCTCTAAAGGAAAAGCTCATCACCTACACAGAGCATCACAGCACTCAGATCCATTAATAAATGTCCTGTGAAGAATTATACTCTTGTCACAGCTTCACAACTATGATCTTTACTGGTACTTACATGGGCAATGTCTCCTTTTGTGCCAATGACCCTATCCTGAGAGTGCTTGCTGAACTCCACATAGTGGTCATCAGGGAAGGAATGTCTGTAGATAGAGTCAATAAGAAAGTCAAGGAGCTGCAGGTTCAAACCACCTGTGTGAATCAAACACTACACAACACCTCCAGCAGAGGTTTCAACAATACAGAAAACCAAAAACGTAGAAAGACTTTCCTTCACCGTTAGAGATTTTCACAATTGCTCCCCTGCCATTTGCAGGAAAAGATTAGACACAGCCTTTACAGCAGACCCGTGAAAAAAACCACAAGCAGCAAATTCACAGACTTGTCATCAACAGAGTCAGCCGTAAACATAACACTATGGAGAGGAGTAAGCAATGAATGGCATCATGAATGTTCAAACACACATGCAGGCCTGAGGCATGTTAAACTTTTTAACTGACGAATACCCTGTAACTGACCTAAAACAGGTCACACCAAAACTGTTGCTTACAACTAAGGTAGACAACAGTCAAACCTTTTAAAAATTAAGAGTGTTCCACCCATTTTTTATGGGAAGGAACAATTGTAAATACTAAAATAAATTTTAAATAGCTTTCTCCAGCTCCGATATAGCTTGTATCCAGGTCTGAAAATTTCACCATCCAAATCACCATCCTAGTAAAATTCTGTATCTGGCTACAGAAATATTGTCAAGCTAATTTACAAACATGAGAAGAGAAATACAAATATATTTCTTTGCCTTCAGGGACAGCAGTGATTTTACTGATCTCTCTCGCATTAAATAGCACTTTGGGTAGTTAGAATTTAGCAAAAGTGTCTGTACCAAATAAAATAGGGAAGATACTAAACGTAAGAAAGGAAGCACATTTTATTTTTTCACAACAGACATTGTGAAAGCTGTGCTGCACTGTTCTTTCACAGAGTTTGTTCTTAGGGTTTCTGCCTATATTGAATGGTTCTTCTAACTGTAACATACCCCACAGCAGGATCAGAGTATACCTACTTCATATCAAAGACAGACTTCATTCCCCACAATGCAGACAGAGGTTGGCTCCACGTAGCAGATGTCAGCAATAAAGATCCATCCTGTATTTCCAGATGGGAGTGGAGGGAGAGGAAAGGAAAAGAATACCAGGGAAAAGAGAGGTTATAATTTTACCTGTACACTTTAACTTACACTTACAAGCTGACTTTAGGAACTATAGCAGATTTTGTGCTTACTAAACTACTCCTATGGGGATAAAGTCTAGGTATCTAATACTATGTATGCTATAAAGAGTATCCATATATATATATATAAAAAGCCCTTGGCACACAAAGTAAAACATTACAAATAACAATGGGAATGATCTACAATGTTAACAGCAGATAAAATAATCCATGGATTACTTTAGGCTAATCCATGCCTGAATTTTGATGCCCTGTGAGTGGAGTTCATTGTTGTTATAAATCAGTTACCATTTATTTCTTCCTAGAATCATCCCCCAAAAGATTCCTTTCTCCAACAAAGTAAGGTTATATAAACTCTGGTATCTTATCGCACATTTATTTTAAATGCATAGTCAGTTTAAGCATTTTTCCACTTCCAGACATATATATGCATTACTTATGAAGGTACACAGCCACTGTGCATCTTTCCTATTATTTTGATAAGAAAAAAAATAATTGTAGAATTCACAGAGACCAAGTATGTAACTATTACAAGTACTTTAATGACAGGCACTGCAGGCCAGCCAATAGGTGCATTTTAGACGTACACATGCAGATGGGCCCAAACCATACCAAGGCTTAGGCTGTGAGAACTTCTAAAACTCCAAACAGGTCTTTGATTACTTACCCTGGATGGCTCAAGGTGCGTGATGGCAGAGTTATGGCAGTTGTAACTGGCCTCTTCCTGTCCACTGAATACATTATAGAGTTTCAACTGCCCCGTGCAAGTACCCAGCATTAAGAACCGTTCTCTTGCAGAGAACGCACAACAGGTAAAGCCACTCTCATCCTCATTTGCTTCCCTGAACACAGAAATCGGACGGAACCTAAAGAAGGCAGAAATACAAGGGTCACCCAAAAGACAGAAGAAAAGCAAAACTGAAACACTGTGATATTAAATCCAGTACTTAAAAAAATCACGTAGGTACAAGTTATAGCTTTCTTCTAGGACAAGCTAAGTGTCAATTGTAAGACTAGTGCTCAAGTGAGTATGTTACAACAGCGTTTGCAACATTTCAGGGGGTTTTTTAGCACTATTAAGTACTTCTGTTAAAGCACATCATTAAGTTGAAGCACTTAGAGTCCGTCTTCAAAGTTGGAGTGATGGAAAACCTGTAATGCCATAACCTGGAGAAGTACAGACAGCTAGCGAAAAATTTTCTAACAGTTGAGAAACACTGCATGGCACATTGGCCAAATAACCTCCTGTCATCATAAAGGTGATACTGGTTTCACTGTGAAGATGCTTTCATCTATGTGTCATCTTTATTTTTATAAACTTGACATCATCCTCCAATTTAACCTCAGCAAAGAAAGGCCACATAAAAAGACTAGCAACCTGCAGTGCTGCGGATTCAGTTGCAAGAGTAAAATATGTATTCCACCACCCTGCATCTGTCACCCTGCATCAGTATGTAATGCAACTGGCATTACATACTTACCTTCCAAAGGAGAACAAAGATCTATGAGCTTCATTAGTCAATGTTGCTAATAAATTAACATGATAACTGAAAATAAAGCATCCCTTATATACTAAGGACAAGAGAAACAACTTCTAAAAATGCCTTTCAAGGCTCTCCCACTTGTCACTTCGAATTAAAACACTTTTTTCTCCAAGCATATTCCACTGTGGGACTGCACAGCCTGAATCCAGGTAAGGCTTTTCAGCACGGGGTACCTCCTGAGAGGGATCAAGAAACATTTTTCTTCCTTACCTGCTAAATATAAGGTGTCTATCAAAGCAGCCACCATCCACGCCCCCGTACTTCGGAAAGGCTGCCCTGCGGGTCAGCCGTGAGGTAAAGTTAGTTGGCGCTTGGCGCCTCTGTTTTGGCTCAGGACACTGGTGAGGAGTAAAGAGAGAGAAAGGGGGACAGGTGGCAACAGGGTTCTTGCAGCGGGCATGCTGCTCCCTAAGGTACTCTGTGATTATACTGTCCAGCGTGGGTGGGGAAGGAAGGTGTCTGTCCAGCTGCTTTTTGATAGCTGGGCTCTGGCTGTAGGCGCCATGGTCCGATTTTTGTCGCAACACTCTGATTTTTCTGCCGTTGCAGGGAGATGGCCTCTCCCTGACAAAGCTGATCCTGCCAATCAGAGGAGAGTTGCTGGCATAAGAAGGGCCTGGAAGGGCAAGTGGACCCTGGGATGCAGATGGCCTTGCCTGAGCATGGACAGAAGTGGCAGTGGAACCTACAGAAGGGTGGCTACCCAAACGGGCTGAGATGCCATTAGCTATGCGAGGAGTGCGAGGCAGGGTCACAGGAGAGGCAGCAGCCGCAACAGGGGTGAAGGCAGATGAGTGAGATGCTGCAGTCATGGGTAGGTCAGCCTCTTTAGTAAGGACAGATGCAGTTTCTCCTAGGCCCTTAGAGATGAGATGGTTCCGAATCAGAAGCAGCAGCTCCTTCTCAGGAAACGTGATCCTTGACTGGGCCACCACATCCGCTTTCTGCAACCGAGCCAGAGAGACATCTGTGCCAATCAGCAATGGCTTCCCCGAGACACGCTCTATCAGCTCAGCAGCGTATTTGCAAAACTTCACATGCTCGCTGCGCTTGTCCTGAAGCACCGGCTCTTTCATCAGCTGCTGAATTTGACAGCTGCTGAAGAGGGGGAGCTTGCTGATAATCTGCCGGACAGTACTGCTGCGTGAGAGCCCCACCAAGGCTTTGCAGGCTAATGCTCGGATCTGATCTGCGTCTGTGATCGGCATCTTTATAGACAGCAGTGACAGCAGCACTTTGATGCCATTGTTGGACTGTACCACATTCCACATCTTAGCTAACGTGTGCTCACTGCTCCTGGGGGCCTGAGGAAGCTTTCGCCGAGGAGTTCCAGAGATGAATTTGCCAATACTGGAGATCCGATTATCTGGGCCACATACACAATTGATGATGATCTGAAGGGCTGATTTCTGAATCTCAGCATCATGGATGAAAAATTCACCCTCAGCAACTCCAAGTATGATACTAATACCTAGTGAGGGGAAAAAAAATAGGTTTTTTAGTACTCTAGAATATATCTCACACAGTTCATCAGACAAGTAAGGGAGTCTTCAACGAATTTGAGGAAAATAGGTAATTCTCTTCATTCTGGGAATTTCTGAAGTTCTGCTAACTAGTGTAAGACGTATTCTTCTACCTCCCTGGCAAGATGTTTTCCTACACTGATGCTCCTCCACTTCATCATCAGCAAGTAGGGAGTCAAACAATCTTTCAGAGACTGTGATCAGGGATGGCCAGGAATGCAAAATCTGAGATACCCGGCACAGAGAAAGATGCACATGCACGCCTCTGGTTCTTACTGCAGAAAGCAACTCAATTGTATAAATACTAACAATGAGGAAACAGAGAGTAAGGAAGGGGACCATGTTACGAAATGAAAAAAAAATATAAATCATACCACAGCTTCCAAAAGCAATCAGGCAAAAATGAAGCTTTGGGCTTGTTTTTTTTTTCCCCCCAGACAGAGTTCCTGTTAGTTTCATGTCTGCTTCAGAAGATCAAAACCCTCACTCAAGAAAGAACTGGTGTTTTGTCCAAAGAAAGGTTTTGTGCAAAAGAAACTGTCTTTTGCCTATATCTAGTACTCCACCTGCCTTTTGTTTTTTTCTTTTCTTAAAAAAAAAGTCAGGCCTCAGTTAATGCATAAGCCTTAGATCCAATCCAGGCACATATCATTCGTTTGCATACAGAATCTGCAGGTAGCCAGTTAGAGCATAACTCAAACAGTAGTAATTCCTCTCCCATATTCTCAAATGCCATATCCCCAGGAGACCTAAATTTCTGGGAAGCTGAAGGAACCTAATAGTCCCATTACAAAGTAGATCTACCTCCACCTGTATTTAATGAGCTCTTGAAAACAAGTGCAAGTCAAAGACCATGCGTTCAAATTTGTAATCCAACCACACTGCTAATCATGCCACAATTTTAACCAGTCTGCTCTCCTATTTATTTGCATCCTTGATGGCAACTCCAAATACCTGAATTATTTTAACCCTTGTCTCACTGTAGGTAAGGAACAGCCAGCTAAAAACCATGTAGCAGAAGACAACTGATAAGTGTCCAAGTCATAAGGACCCTATTCAGCTTACCCACAGTGGAAACAGTACTTCCAGCTTCATCTAACACATCCACAGGTTCAGCCAGCTGCAACTGGATTTTAGGAACCACAGTCAGGATGGCCAATACATCCAAAGCATATCGTACTGTGTCATTCCTGGAAAACAACAGAAGAACTTCTTAGAGGTGTATATACAGAATTGTTCCAATAACATAAACCAGAATTCAATCTACTCTACTGCAACAAATACGAGTAAATCAGTCACATCCCATGTATTTGATGGTGCCTTTTGATTTTAGAATGTTCCACTCTTAAAGGGCTGGTATCCACAGAAGGCAGGGCTCACATGCACACCATTGCCTGCAGTCTGTCAACATTTAACCCACACTGCCCCCAGGCTCCTAAAAGCACTGTATTTATAAAAATAAAATGTTAGAACTTACCCACAAAAGCATTCTAAATTAAACTTCTAAATCTAATTAACTCTACATCTTAGTTGGGAAACACTGTTGTCTAAAATACTCCATCAGCAGGCAACTACCAAGGAAGTTTTTCTGAAATTGTTAGCAGTAAAACAGACAATTGTGATAGGGAAAAAGGCATCAACTTAGGCACCAGTTTAAGAGAGACACGGGTGTGCGTAAGATGAAATGGGCTGTTAAGGAAGATGTGGAAGAGCAGAACAATGCAAGAAAAAGGGGGAAGGTTTGTAGGCCTGTATGGAAAGGTAGGAGTTAAGCCAGGTAGCAATTAGGAAACAGCTGCAGAGAGTAAGAAACAGGAGAACAGAAGCTACTCAGGAGAGTGCAACCTGAGAGACAGAGAGGGAGGCAGGGGACTGCAGAAGCAAAACAGATTTCGAAGGCTTTCAAGAAGTTAGTCAAGAAGCTCCTGCAGGTAGCAGAAATAAGGAGGAGGGAGTCCTGGTGACAAGAATAGCACTGATGACAACTAGTTATAGCAGACAGTGACTCACCAGTAATTATATCTCTAGAGAAGACTACAGCCTTACTCTGGAGAACAGATGGTCATTAGGATAAACAGAGGCTGGAACTTTGCACCCATCCTCCTTTTGAACTGGGGACAGGATCCTGATGGTATTCTGTCAGAGCCTGGAGGTAGTTCCCTTTCTTTTGTAACATTAATGATGCTGCAGATTTTTGGGGGGTAGGGAGGTGGGGGGGGATGAGGTGCCACCGAAAGATAACAGAGTATCATGGTGCCCCGACAGCTTGTCTGCGGCCAAGACAAGGGAGAAACTTAAAAGTGACATCATAAGGTGAGCCCCTATCAACATGTTGAGTTTTAACAGCTGGTGCGGTATCATCCAGGGACATGAACCTGAGCAATGCACAGTAACAGTCTTCAGTCTTTTTGCTCTTTCAAATGCTGTCTTGCTACATATTCACACAACTCCTTTGCACAGTTATATCTGTTCAGTAAACTTCAAATACCAACAAATTAAAGCAATAGTGCCCTCTCTTGAGTCAGCTAAACTTACTACACCCAAACAGACATTTGACCTCTTTCTAGGATTAAGACAGGTCTTCATTTCACCCTCTACTTGGAAGGTTTTCTAGCCTTTCTCTAACAAAAAGGTAAATAAATTTTGAGACAGATAAGAAGCAGCACAGAATTGTGATTAAGCTCTACTATGATTCTGATTTCTCAGAAACTAAAGGCCTGAGGCATTCTGGCTCTTCAGATATCTCAGGACATCCCTCTCTACTTCAAAATTTTAGCCCTGCTTTCCACGGTGTTAACTTTCATAAGCACTGTGTGGCCACAGCACAGGTCCTAACAGCAGATACAGGTGTATGTGCCTGTTTTAAATGCTATCAGAGAGGTAGAAAATCTAAAAATGTAACATCCTGCCCCAGAGTCACAACTTACTGCACTAAACTACAGTACTACAGCAAATGGCTCACCTTGCATAGTACGTCTTCCAGTTGCATGCTATTGAAATGAGCTGAAGCATGAGTTGGACACAGGACAATTTGAGAAAGACCTCTGCTGGCTCCCAGTAGAGCTGTGCTGGACCATACTCAATCAAGAACTCCATCATCTCTACAATCTGCTCATGTGTATAGGAACAGGCCTGCAGCAAAGTGAGTTGGAAGTGTTAGAGATCACAAGGGTTACAAACTTGCACATCAAGTCCCTCACTGATGGGTTTTAACTCAAAACTGCATCCACAGAGAGCAGACTACCACTGTCTCTTGCAGATTAAGTATTTACTTTCTGGTTTATTCCCCAATTATAACAGAATACAGCAATTGTCACTATAATATACAATAATAAGCTTAAGAATAACATCCTTTAAGTTTCGTAGCAGTCCCAGAAGGCTTAGGCAAATTTAAGAAGAAAAAGTGACATTAAATTAAAATTCTACTCTGCTTTTAAGCTACTACTCTAGTAGTTACTAAACCATCATTCAAAATAATTTTCTGCTAAAACATTAAAAAAGGCTTCAAAAATTATTCAATAACAGTTTCTACATTCTGACTACAAAACATACAAAAAAAAGGAAATTCCCAACAAGCTTGCCTTTCATTATTTTTTTAAAAAATTACAGAAGGCAACAGCTAATACATATTTCTTTAGTTACTGAAAATAAGTTATTTTTGCAGAAGCAAAAAATCCCCTGTGTTTTCTTATTTCAGGTCTTCTAGAAAACCATCATAAATTAAAACAGAAACCATAGGCAAATGTGCTCCCTCAAAACAAGCATCCACAAAATTAAGTTTAAAAAAGATACTTAAAAAAAAAAAAAAAAATCACTTTTCAGGGAGAAAGTAGGGGGGGGAAAAAAAAAAATTTCAAGGTCAACCACAAGGATCTTCCAGGTCATTCCTAAGAACTATGGTGTCCAAAAGACACATTTCAGTTGTCAATATCAAACCAAACTTATTTACAGGTTTTCCAACATTATGCAGTTTTCTAAACATGCAGATTTTGTCCTTTCAGAGTTCAAAAGCATAAAAAAAACAGGAGTATCAAAAATAACCTGCCTTTAACTTAAGTGTTTGAGAGATGGAAAGGGAATCACAGCAGATGAGCAGGAACCTTAATCAAATTTCAGTTCAAGTTTGTTCAGATGAACCTCAAAGGCTCTTCTGTATTTTTCTATTGCAATGTCATTCCGCAAGGCAGGAAAAAAGTACAAATAAAAAAATCCCTATCCCTATAAATTGCACACTGCCTAGTTATTCCACTGGCTTCAAAGGACATCGACATATTCCTGCAGCTTGGATTTGCTTGAAAAAGGCAATGAATGTGATAAAAGCTTGCAACATGCTACTCACCTTGTAAGGGGGCTGCGGATGGACCAGAATGCCACCTTCAGTGCGCTGGAGTGACTGCTTCACCTGTTCAAGTTTGATAGCAAGGTGAGCCTCAAAGTATCTACGCAAGGCCATGCAGGTGTGTTTCCCAGTCTGGCGACTGGCAAAGATCTCATCATCACTCAAGAGGGCTCCTTGGTCTTCCAGGTTTAAGATCTCAAGAGTGCTTATCTTCAGAAAGAGGTCAGGTGGGGGGAAACAAAAAAAGTTTCATCAGCTCACTCTTCAGGAAAAAAAAAAAAAGCACCTACAATTCTCAGCTGCACTTGTACTAATCCCAAACAAACTTACTTTGCTACATAAGACATACAAGCACACCCAGAGCTGACAAAAGCTGTCTGAACAGAAAAGGCTATCTGCATGGATAAATAGTGAGTCTAAAAAGAACTATTCCCCCTCCTTTACTATTTATGAAGAAAGAAATCCAGAAGTTACATCAATATAGATCTGGAGGCAGTGTTGTGCCTAATACTATTAGACGTTATATGACACAACACAAAGCATACTTACACTCTGCACTGCTGATGTCTCTGAATTAGATACAAACCAAGCTATTAGGGCTGCACAGCAATACCATGCAGACATACCAGCTTTTGTACATAAACAGTATAATTTGTGCTCATAAGGTAATGTGGTTACCACAGCACAAGCACAGTTGTACCTCTCCTGGAACAAGGCTGGATTTATCTGCATCCAAAAGGGTGCATGACAATACTGCACACGTATATGGAATGGTAAGAAACGAACTACCAGAGACACTACTGTTTGAATAAGTACTGCTAAACCCAGGAGTTGCACCAAAAAGCTCTCACAAGGTATTAAGTCTCTGGACAATAATCATAATACTAATAAAGATAAATAATAAAGATTAAAAAAAAATAATAAAGGGATCCACCTGGATGTGGCTTAGAAAACTCACCCCACCTCTCCATATCTTCAGGACTAAAACAAAATCAAGCAAAACCAAACAAAATAACAGAAGTCTCCGCAGTGGGAAGGTAAAGGGTGCAAAACCTGACACTAAAACCCTGTTCACCACATAAAATTACAAGCCTTACCAGGTTAACCAGACGTCGAAGGCCATCATGTCTGTCAAAGAGCTCCAGGACAGCACGGAAGGAGAAGCAAATGGAGAAGAACATGGTAGCATGGCAGCAGCCTGATGCGTGGGAGCATTCCATTAGCCATAAGGTATAGTTTACTACATCTGAAAGCACATTATGGGGGTGCATGCACACCTAGAAAGCAAAAGAACATTCGTAAGAAGGACTTCAAACAGATTGCTGAAGAGAATTTGTCCAAGGAGAATGAGGGTTCTTTGAGAGGCAAACAGAGGACAAGTATCAGTGACTCCCAGCTTGACTTGGGACATCTGACACATGAAATAAAAAGTCCCACTTCCAGACCAGTAAAACAAAGACTAATAAAGGCTATAATGTGGCAATGTAGGACTAGCAATTGGTCCCCCCAGGCCTAAACACAATAAATACAGCAGTCTTAGTGTAGTATAATTCCAGAGAGTCCTTCTCCATACCACTTCAAGCTATCCAAAGAACGCTTTGCTAGAGGCAGAGAAGGAAGAAAAGTTTCCACTGAAGAAACAAAAATTCTTCTCAGTGTAACAATATCAGACACTATGTTGAAGTTCTAGCAAACTCTGGTAGCACTGAAGTCTAGGGGAATTGCAAGGATCATCAAATGCAAATCTAAAGCTTGACTTTCTCTGGAAACAGACAACTGAGCTGGTCTTTTTCTTTTCTCAGACCCTGCCTCTGAGATGTGCAGACCATGTGCTCAGAACTGCACTTTTGCATAAGTTTGTTAGCTTCTAATGATGAGGGACTCCGAATCCTCTGCCAGAGTCAGCGCCAAGAGGAACAGCACAGAGAAGTACTGGCACCAGCTGCTATATGCCAGGTTAGAAGATTTTGTTTGTCTCTTCTCTGCTGGTGTTGGACATACTCAGAGAATACGGTGCTACCAGCTTCAGCCTTGCTTCCACCCCGAGACCTGAGGGCTTGGCATGGTCTAAGCAACAAGGGAAACCTGCTCTACCTGGTATCTGAGATACTGGGGATAACATCTGGCAGATGAGAATACCACTACAAAACATCTGCATGGTTTTATGACACAGCCTGAAGATGTCAAGCAGAAGTAACCCTCATGCAGAACCCAGCCAAGGCTTTTGGTTTTCCTTTTGAACAACCATGCAAGCAGCAGTTTTCTCATTACAAAGTTCAGAGAAACATCAAAGCAGGTCACATGCAGCCAGGGTCCATCTTTCCGACATAACAGGCAAAAAGAAGTGGAGGGAACATTATTACCATTTCACCTTTCTTGCCCTCATAAGGGAGATGTAATACAGGCCACAGATAGCCCTTGTCAACTGTGATTACCAAAAGGTTTTTGAACCCACTTATACAAATGCCTGCAGAACACAAAATGCCAGCAGAATCCATACAGATATGGCCTTAAATAACTACTACCAGTCCAGCCTCTACATGCTCAGGAGTGTTAAGTGTGTTAAATCATAACACACATTCAGACAGCATCAAAAATCAGGAAAGAATAAGCAGAAATGTATAGCTACTAGTTTAACTGCTTCCTTTTTCAGCTGAAAAAAACCCCAAAACTAGACCATGCCGGGGACAGGCCAAGAATCAAAAGCCATCACTCAAGGCAGAGCAGAGTTGGAAGGCTTAAGGATACAACTTTGCAGTTGGTTGGAATGAATCTTAGAGCAGGATGCTCCCGTACTAACACTCACAAGTAGAAAGGTCACCTTCTTTTTGTTCTTCTTAGCATGGTAGCAACTTTAGAATAAACTGGATTAGTTCATAGATCTGGCTCAGCACATATGTGCTACTGCCAGTACAAAAAATAAAACGAGAAATAGAATCACTGTTTAAAGTACCTGGGAAAATGAAGCTTAAGGGTTGACTATCATATCAACCCGTCTGAAGGGATGCTGGCTGGAAGAACACAACTGAACTGAGAGAAGGATTTCTTTTAAGATTTTTTTTGTATGTTAAAATATGAGGTGAGGAACTTTACCTTCATTATCAGCTGTTTTAATGTTTATAAGCTCAGGCCACAGAGAACACTTAGTATCATTTAATTTGATTTTCTGAACAATGCAGACCAGACCTGCATTGGTCTTCTATTGCATTCTAACACCATCACAGAAGTCACACCGCTGTCTGGAATCTGACTGAGGTACTGTGTAACACTGAAGCTATCCACACTGGGACCGTGCATGGAAAAAAAAAATCTCAGCTATAGGAGTCCATTGGAACAGACGGGAAAGGAAAGACAAATGAGAATGGAGTTTATCTTTTTTTTGAGAGAGAGAAAGAGGGAATAATAGGATAAAGAGGGTGATGAAAGTTTTGAGACAATACTGACAAGACAGAAATCTTCAATTAATTCTCTAGGAACTGAAAACCACACCCTTGAATCAAAACACTCAAATATATCATTATTTATACACTTCCTATTGCCTCTGCACATACTGAAGTCTTCTAGCTAAATTTTCTTCTTAGCTTCCGAGATGTTTATTCACTGTTTGAACATGGGTAGAAACACTAAGAAACAAGGAGAATCACTGCAGTTACAGTAAAAGAATGCCTCTTACCCTCTCCATAGCATCTTGATTGTAAGACAAATAATATAAGCACATGGAGACCCCTGTTGCTGCCATGGAAGGACGAGGAATCTCCAGCAACTTTTGCACTCCTCCATGAGCAACAAACTCTGTTGCAAACTTGTTGTGCAGCAGCAACGATGCCAAATGCTAAGGAAGGATAAAAGCAGATTAGACTGTAATTCTTCAACCTGTCATCAATTCCATCCCTCACCCCACAGAAAAACAGACGGCAGAAAAAAAATTGCTCTGTGCTTTGTCCACCTTGTTTTCTCCTCCCATTATATTTAACTGCAGAATGTAATATTTATCCCAATGACAAAAGCAAAAAAGGCACTATCACTTTGTTTTACACATCTTGTAAAAGAAGTACAAGAAAAGCAGAGCAACTCAAAAAGTTGTCCAATAGGCCACCTTAAGTATTCCTGTTCTTTTCATGTTAACTCACTTTCTATTATCACTAAGAAATATTTAAATTTGCATTCACACTCTGTATGTACCATATTGCTTGTAGGATGAATTTTACAAAATGAGGTGTGGAGGCTACTGTTAAAATGGAAGTCTGCAGCTGCACTGAAGCTTACTACACGCTACTTTTCTGTATTACCAACATCTTAAGAGGAAACAGCGAGAACAACTGTAAACCCCACCCCACTCCCAACTGAGGTAACCTACACCTTTTGTAGGAACACTGCTCCTTGGAAATAAATTCTTGGACAAACAAAAATGAAATGGAGAGAAAGATGACACTGGAGGATCAGAGGCAGAGAAGTTACTGTGAAAGAGGGAAACAATGCACGGAAAAAATATAACTTGTGCTGCTGCACTGCAGGTTTGGCTTGAATAAGGTTATTTTGTGTGGTTTTGTACGTTGAGGAGGTAACCTTAAAGGCCACTCACAAAACTATTGTATTTCAAACATTAAGCTCAGAGATTTCATGCTGGGGCTTCTGGGAGTAAGACACTCATGCTTCTTACACCTCACAAATATCCCTTGAGATGACAGGCAGTGGAACAACTCAGAAATGCCATCTAAGGGCAGCAGGAACACAAGCATTTGACAGAAAAAGGAATTTTTATCATCTTCGGATAGGCCAACAGCAGGTGAAATTAATGGCAGTTCCTGCACAAATAAGATACTTTTATCCCTTTCCCCCTTTCATTTTTTAATTTTAAATACTTGAGAATTGTAACAACAAAACTGCAATGCACTCAAGTGAAGCCTTGAGTGAAGCCAATTCCAATCCCAGGGAATGCTGCAAGACACACAGGCCTAAAAAAGGTGAGCATTTGCCTTTGATGCATGCAGCAGACATATATTCAATGCTTTCACAATGTTTATGGTACGTTTTACACGTTGCAAGAGTAATTTACCTTAAGGGCTTCAAAAGTGAGCAGCACATCATTGGTTCGCTTCAAATCGATGTAGTACATCATCAGCTCCCTTGACCCCAGTTGCATAAAGATGGGCAGTAGCTGAGAAAAATAAAAATGGGAGAGTAGCTGAATGTTTCATGGGAAATACAAGATCTGTTTTCGTTTTTACTCTCTCAAACCCCCAATTTTCCCCTATTAGCAGATACCTGTTAGGAGAGGTCAGTGGTAACCAGCTCCATCCATAGGAAGCAATAAAGGTTAACAGACCTCTTGTAATACATCTGCTGACTGCAGCAAGGTGCATGACAGCTGCCACATGGAAATCTTAAGACTCTCCTTCAAGTGCGGCTATGGAAAGTCCACACAGATACCACCCTGGCGATAGGTTCCACTTTCCATCTGTGCAAAGACAACTACCCAACAACTGAACAGAAAAAACAGGAGAGGAGGGCAACAAACCAAAACCCTTCACATAATTCTTTGTGTAACAGCTTTATAGTATTAATTCCTATTTTTATATTCTATTATGGCTGGCATAAGAAGTGATCCAGTCAGCATGCAAGGTATTAGGGGGATAATGGTTTCTTTGGCTCTCTCAGAAGCAAGGCACACACGTGCATACACACATGAAATATATGTATCACAAAGCAAAACTGTGTCGCTTTGTTCTATTTCAAATTAAGTTAAACCACCTAAAAAAAAGATTTGACAGAGATAAAGGAGGCCTGCAGACCTATGCTAACTTGAGTTTTATGGTTAAAGTAAAAAAAGAAAAAAGGAAACACACTTTGGTAAATCTGACACTGCCCAACTACTTTGTCCATGTAAGTAACAACAGCTCTCAAAAGCATCTGCGCAACATGGGCACTGCCATTTCTCATCACAACTACTGCAGAGGTTACGCAAACCACTTCGTTTAGAATTTCAAGTTAATTACCTCCTCAGACTTCTAATTGCGGGAGTTTTATCACATCCCACAGAGGAAACGGGAAAAATTTCTGTATTTCAAACAAAGTGACTTGCCCTATGTCATGTAAACAATCACAAAATTTAACAGAATCAGGAATAAAACTGCCATGCTCCAACTACTAGACCATACATCTGCTAGGTTCAGGTTTCAGTATCACCTATCAAGTAATACTCAAACTAATGACTTCATCAATTTGAAATTCATCAACAACTCAGGAAAGGTTACTGATCTTAATCATCAGGGAACATCAGAGAGCGATATAACAGTTCTGCATTTTTTTCCCCACAATACCACTCATAGTTTTGTCAGAATTCAAGCACAGATTGCTTCCTTCCACCTTCATATGCTCACCTCTTGGTACTCCCCTAAGGGAGTCAGGTACTGAAGAATTAGCCTCTGCTCTATGGCGGGAGTCAAAGGGTAAAGTGTATAATTAGTGCCAATCACCCACGGGGACATTTCTGACCAGCTGCTGTTGGACAGCTCAACAAACATCCGCTCTGGTTCTGAAGCGGAGAAGCCCAGCTTTTGTTTGGCCTTCCGGAAGCCGTCTCTTTCATGCTGTTTCCCCGATTTGCTTTTTCTCAGTCCCCCATCATCTAGCTTTGTAGCAGAGTTTACTCTGCTACTGGTCTTGTGACTTGAATCAAGATGAAAGGAGATCTCCATATCACCAGAAACTTCCTCTTGCTCTCCATCTACTGCCATCTCCCCATAATCCATATCCACAGCCTCTTCATCCAGAGGCAGCAAAGGATCTGATGGCACTTTCCGAGGACTGGGACGCTTGTTTTCTTGTTTTGTAGTCATTTCAGTAACCTGTAACTCTCGTAGCCGTCGAAGCACCAAAGCCACCTGTTTCAGAAAAGAAGCATGCATGAGAACACGCTTCTTGCTTTAATCATGCAACTCATCGGCCATATCTTTTGTTCTTATCATACAACCAGTTCCACAGTGCAAAGTGTCAAGTATGCTGTGGTGTACATTTGCCCAGAGAAATAATGATTTCAAAGTGAATAAGAAAACTCCAACCCTTTTTGCTACAGCTACTTTAATAGCTAAAAATATCAGCTCCTAGTCTCCTGCATGAGAAGGAAGTGGCTTGAAAGCCATCAAGAGCAGATGAGCTGTATTGGTGCCAACAGAACCACATACCAGCTTGCACCATCCTTCCATCATCCCTGCCTAGCCTAGAATAAAGGCAATATTCCATTTCGAAGCAGCAACTCTGACAAATTGCAGTTCCACAAAACCTAAGGTCATGCTTTTACTTTTAAAAGCCTTATCTATGCAAGAATTAGAATTCACCTACACTTCAACACACTGTACATCATCCTGGGAGACAAATTTGCCTATCCCAGCTTCTTCCAAAAGCCATCTCAATTGCTGATGAACATTATACAGAACCAACACTAAACTGGTGAGAGGTTTAGAGTAGAAGTGAACACAATTTCATATTAAGTTGTCCCCATGTTGATTTACCTTTCATTTTAAAAACCCCTGTCTGGTACGCAAATCATGACATGCAAATGTAAAGCTTCTGAACATTTTTCTTTAAGGAAGCTATGAATGAGTCCCATTTAAAAGTAAAGTATTTGCCACCTTAAGTTTCCACTGGCACTTTTAACACTATTGGTATAAAAGAATAATCAGGCCACATGCCGCAGCCTCAGCAATTGCAATCAGGAAAGGATGGAAAGCATGAGCTAGTGACTTTTACAGGTATTATCACAACCACTGTGAGACCCATATATTAACTCAGGAATCTGAGCTCCGCACAAATGGAAAAAAAAAAAAAAAAAGAAAAAGGAAAAGGTATCTGCCTTCTAAAAAAAGGAGAGTGCTCGAGAGATCATTACCAATTGTGAATTCTCATCCCTGTAATTTGCAGCAATATCTTGGTTTTCCATAGCTCCTCCCAATAGCCCTGTTGCATATGTCCTTAGCGGCTGATCAGCCTCTCGTGCCCACTTAAAGAGATTTTCAACTATGCCTTCCTAGAATGAAGAAAATAAGAAAGCAATTCCATCAGTCTCAGTCTCAGTGAAAGAATCTGTTGGTAACAATTCTCCCTATCTCTAGTAATGACCAGGCTAGATTACCTACCAATCATACAACGAATCAAAAATATCTAGAAAAATAATAAAGAAATCTAACATTTTAAGCTGCATAAAACTATTCCCAGGCATTAGATATTTGGAATCAGGATCTGCACACCTACAAAAATCTTGTGAAGCGGCCAGCCAACCTACTGCCTAGGAGTAGCAAAGCACTACAGGTATAAATTGATTAGTCAAAACAAACAAGGCCAAAGCTCCTGTGAGTTTCACTAGTAGAAATCTCCAGCAATTTAGCAGATTTCAAAATCTCCATAATGTTTGGAGAAGAGAGAAACACATGCAAGTATACCAATCTGTACATCTGAAAATCTTAATGTTAAATGTAGTTAATATTTTTAATGGCAACAAAATCAGCAGTGTTTGAACACAGCCTGACAGGCAACTTTTCTTAACAGGGCTGGATAAGTATTAACTGAAAATTAAAAGAGTCAATGAAGAATACAATGGTTTGGTATGAAAGATTCATTTTTTCCTCTAAATCACTACATCATCGTACAATACTATCGTGACACAAATCTTGCACATAATTTGATTCATAGGTATAATACAAGAAACAATCAGTTAAAAGTAACAAGGAATAGACATATGCGTCCATGAGAACTCTCATCTTACAGATTTTGGAAGAGTTATGTATTTAAAGAAAACTGCATTATTATTTAAATGCTTTCATGTCATTAAAAAAAATGAAAACAATGAGAGATGAAATACCTTGGTCACTAGAGGGCCTCTGTATTACCAGAACAGTACCCTCTTCCAACCAATTTGTGAGCTATCCTAAAGCCTCCTACATACAGGAACCCAAAGTGTCATAACAGAGCTTTATATATTCTCAAGTCAGAAGAAAAAAAGAAAAGTCCTTAAGTGCAAAACTTAACTTCAAAATTTAATTTCAATTTACAGAGATATTTAGTCTCTGAAAAAAGCTATATTGTGCACAAATAGGGAACGATTGTTTTGCTTTAACATTTTTGGATCAAATTCTCTCAGCCTTAGCCTTTGGATGATTTCAAATTAAATTAAATCCTTCACAAAGGGAGCACGTTATTTTTTCCTTTTACCATGCTTCAGAGTTCATATCCATATTTCCAATAATAAAGAAATTAATTTAGAACTTTTATATAAAAGCACTATGTGATTTCCAAACTTTACATTCCAAACATTACATTACTTTCTACAGACGAGGAAACTATGGCTCAGGAGTGAAATGTACTTTCTCCTCACTTTCAATGCTCTGTGCATTTCTTCAGAAAACCACACTTGTCAACATACAGAAGTCTGATTCAGCTGTCCATCCATCACAGTTCCAGATAATCCCCACAAAGCATGTGGATTTTAGACTGCTTAGTTAAAGTACGACTTGCTTATCACTCAGCTGTAATACTGCTATCACTGTGCTGTAGCTGGGGATTACTGGACAAGACTCCTACAGCAGGTCTTCACATTCTATATGGCCTGTTTCATTCACAGGCCCATAAAATAACAATTCATATTATAACATTTCCCAAAACATTACACTAAATTCCAGCTCCTCTGTTTGAGTCAGTCCCGTTAGACCCTAAAAGCTGTGAAATATCCAAGATTTGATCTTGAACAAGCCAAGATCAAAAAGCCCCAAACCATTAGTAAGACTGAATAGATTGTCTCCCAGAGACAGGATTTCATTACGGATTTTTACTGGTTTCTCCTATGGGAAGAACTGTTGGAGTACATAACACACCAAGCTTAAAAACCAAGCCTTAGTATAGATAGTACCTTCTCCTGAAAGACAACAGCTGTTTCCAGTCCCGGCATGATATCCAGAAGAAGTCGGCAGGCAGCAGTGTTTAACGGAGGTTCTCTGCTTGTCATCACATAAGCATTCACTAGCTAGAGAAGATCAGGAATAGCATTCAATAGAACTCTGACCAAAATGAGTGCCATGAAAGCTGTACAATTCCCACGGCAGCAAAACAATAAAGTAAGAAATGTCAGTATGTACGTCCTGGATCTCAAGATAACTAGCCTTTAACCTGCTCCCTCCAGTGCCTCAGAAGTTGAAATTAATTCTCACAGAAACAGAATTCCTCTCTGATCTGCTGTTCCCTGACTAAACATCAATCTTGAACTGATTTGTAAAGACAAATGTCTAAAAAAAGTTGCAGTTCAGTAACAGTGTAAAAATGAAAACGTAATAGCTAAAAAAATAACCAACATAAAAAATTATACATTTTTAATGGCATCTATGTTTGCTTATTGCTTACAGTTTAAGACAGAAAGCTACATGCAAGCAGTCTGTCAGAACCCTTACAGCAATGTGTACTGATACAGGTGATTGCAGGGACATGAGGGTAACCAAAATTCTAGCTGTTAATTCATGTTAGAGCATAGAAATGCAAGAGGAAAGCCAGACTCTTGCCTCCTAATTCTCTGCCTGAGTCTTCTAGAGCTGATACACTCCTCTGCTTCTACAGGTAGTCCAGCAATACCACGTATTCAGAGACAAGGCATTGGAATTAATGATATTAATTCCCATTATAGAAATTAATTATGCTTTTAAACTTGTATTAGAGGAGCTATGTTTTCTTTAAAGAGACTGATAAACCTTGAGAAAAACTAATTCAATTGTTACTACATATATTCCAGCACTCTTGAATAGCTCATGAACTCCCCTTTCCTTAAGTCACTGTAACAGTGGCAAATGAGTTGCACTTAAACCCATTTTAAAAACCACTGCTAAGGAAGAGATAGTCCTGACACCAGTAAAATAAATATTAAATAAGTACCAGGGTAAACCAGCACAGTGTACACAAAAATCATAAGAAGGTGTCAGGAACTGACAGACATAATTCTCAAAGCAAACCTACCGCATTCATGAAATCATCATTCTTGAAAAGTATCCTCAGTAAGTGACCAAGCATGCACTCTGGGTCCGCTCGACCTGCGGGAGGAATAGGAAAAGACTACCTCAAGATGTCAAGATTAGTACTTCAAATTGATTGTGGAATACTCTTGTTAGCAGGACCTTTCTCAGAAGGAAAATTAGACAAGAAATCATATGAATTATTCACTGACTTCACATTTTTTCTAGTAGGCATTACCTCCCTAGAATGCCTACTAGTCAAAACACAACACATTTTAGTGGTCCGATAGTACTGAACTGTCATTTTTGTAGACAATGAGGTTGCAGATGCCAGGCAAACTGCTTCAGTAACATGGAAATGAGTCATCTCCCAAAAAAAAAATTCTAAAGATAACAAGATAAAAAGCATCAGTGGCTGTGTTTAACTATTCTTAACAGCAACTTCAAGATAATCTGAGACAGTCTTGCCTCTCTGTCCATCTAACACCTACTACTTCTACATTAACTACAACTTGTTAACATCATCATACCCTTATGTCACTAAACAGCCTCTGAAACACTCTTCCAAAACTCTACCTAGGGCCTCAAAATCTTGCAGCAAACATCAAAACTGCCAAATATCAGCACCACAGAGCACAATTACCCAGTGCAAAAGCAGTATCAGACCTTGATCAGCAGTGCGCACACGCAGGCTAGAAATTGCTTACTCTTAAATCTGAATTACCAGGTATCTGTTGTGAGAGTTGGTGCTGCCAAAACTATTCAGGACATCATACCTGGGTGTCGGTCATCAAACGGGTCTGGATCCCCTTTGCGGTACTCTTCAGTTTCCTTCTCAATCAGCTCAGACATTCTGCAGAAGGAACAACATCAAATGAGCAGAGTGCACATTCGGTCTTCTCCTAGTGCACAGCTCCTCACAATAGCCTATCTGTCAAAGTACTATAAAACAGCTCATCAACTTTCAGTTCAACAGCATTCAGTGCCAGCAGAGGATTTCATACTGTTCACAATAAAGGGGTGAGAAAAAGAGATTTTCCTCCAATATCTCATATTCTGCTCCCCTGGTGCTCCAAAACACATTGAACCCATATCAACATCCCACTGATGCACAAGCATGACACTCTGGAGTGGCCCACACCCTTTATTTAGTCATGTTTGAGTGAATGTTCCATGACACATACTGTAGAGAACTAGAGTAAGTAAAGGGGTTCTCACCATCACATAGTCTTTCTTTTGCAGTACAGTAAGTCCTGAACAGGTGACTTAGTCCTCCTTCCTATCAGTCTGGGCAGGGGCAGCTGCTCAAACTGCCTACGCATTTTTTCTTTGGTTATTTTTGCATATTAAATTTTAATAATATTGTGCAGTAATAAAAGTATTAAATAAAGTGTTGTGTAATCTCTATTCAGCTTATCCCTTCAGCTCTACCAAAGCTCAACTTTTTAGCACATCAGTTACTGCAGTGGATAAGACAAGGAGAAACTTGGCCAGCTCACTATTCATAGACCTTTAAAATACACTAAATGCTCCTCCAGATCAGAAAAAAATTGAAGGCTGTTTTGAAGCTATGCCTTCCCCTAAACATACACAGCCTCAGCAGACACAAGAAATCCTATGCTCTAATTAATTTTGACTGAGCAGTAAGGAAACTAATTATCTTTTTCATTTAAACAAAATGAAGAAGAGGGAGATTATCTCATGGTCAAGCAATAAATAATTCCATAGTCATCCACTGACTGACATGTAACACTCCATGAAGTGTTACAGCAGAAATATACACAGTTCGAGGTGAAATGAAGATCAATACTCAAAAAACATTAGCAAATTAAATCTTATTTCCTTGGTATAAAACCTCATTCCCTCCCCTCTATTGAAATCTACAGTGGGGTGCAGAAGCTACACGCAGCACAGCATTTCAAAACAAGGTCTTAATACCTCAAGGGAGCGATCTAGGCAGAGTTTATTATAGAGGAGGGAAAACTGCTGGAAGGCTGCAGTAATCCCTGAAAAAAATATTTGTCTTTACCAGGGAATTTCCCTTACAGAATGCCACTGACTCCTACTCCATTCCTGTTACTTTCCAGAAAATATCCTGTGCTCCCAGGGACAATTAGAGGCAAAAAATGTACTCTGGGAACTGTACTGACTTGCCAGCATGACAGAGGATGATGTTATGAAGCCTCTCCAGATTGTAGGAACAGTAAATTAGCTCATCGGGAATGAGCAGAGAACTCTCCTGCTTGTCTCTGATCTGACAATTATCTTTCAGCAAACTGTTTATCCTGTGGGGTTCTAATATTTACTTTTGGTAAGCCTGAATGTGAAGAGATGTAAATTGAGTCCCTTGCTAACAGGTGGCACAGCTTGAGCTCTCACAAATTTCTGGCAAAAGCAAGTTACTTAAATACTCCACTGCCAGCTCCTCATTTTTTTCCATGAGAATTAATAGCTTGAAGGGTGCCTGCTGACAGACAACTGGGACAAGTGTGGAATTGAGAACTGCACCCTAGACTTGTCAGGTCTTTTTAAGTGATAATCAGCATTTTGATTACGTGCCAGAAAGGACACACAAGCAGCATGGAAAGTGAGTGTAACATTCTCATCAGTCCATCCTGTTTAGGTAGGCAGCCAAACAGTGAGCCAGCTGAAGCTGCCAAGTGGTTTCAGGGACAACAATGTTATCACAGTCTAGATGAAACCAGCATGTGAATCACCAATTATGTTTTTTTGGAGACAATTCGTCACAATTGCTGGACCAAAATAAAAAAGGACTGCCTCTTTAAAACTGACTTCCAAAAAGAAAAGAAAAAGTTCAGCTTGCTTACAATACCCTTCTGTTAACTAACGCATACAAAGGTGGTTTGTGAAATAACTTGGATGAGTTTATGTAGATTAACAGCTTTGTCAATTCTCTGTTGAAGCAACAGGAGAGGCAAATAACTAACAAAGTTCATT